CCCCAAAACCCCAAAACCCCAAAACCCCAAAACCCCTGCTTTTTGTTTGATTATAGAATTTGTTAAATTTATATTAAAATGAGTGTGAACAGCAAATCTGAAAGTGCAATGGATTCCAATTCTAATACTGGTAAATTATTTCCATTGTTAAGTCTAATTTAAAGTAGAGAGTGAGGATGGTCACGAGCTACTTGGTCTTGATAGAGAAGATCTTGAGAAAGCAGCCCTCTTGTATGAAAATGTCAGAGCTCAGCGCAAAAATAAGGAAGATAACGACGATAAATAAATTAGCAGACGATTTTGTTAAATTTCTTGAAGAGGTATCTCTCAAAATGAGTTCCTTCTTAATCCTATGTAGAAAATGCAGAGACTGTCCAAAGTAATCCTGAATCCTAACATTCCAAAGCACATAAAGAGCGTTCATATTCTCAATGTAAGACTTTCATCTAACTGCCACACAGCTACGGTTTGAGACATTTGGACTATGATTTTCCAAGATGAATGAGCAAGTACTAGAAGAGAATACTGCACTTGGGAAAATTTACACAATACTTTTCAAGAACATTCAGCAGATCTACGAAGACTCTGTTGGTCTTATCCAAGTCCTTCGATCAGTTAACGATGAAAAGAAGGCTAAGGGTGACCTCCTCGCTAAAGAGTTGGAAGTCATGCAAACACTTGAAGCTGCAGAGAAGATCGAGGAAGAACTCAACTCCTTTAGAGGCCAGCTGACAGAAGTCAGCAAAGAAAGAGACCAATATAAGCTCGAGTTAGAGGCCTTAAAATAACCAGGTAGTTCAGCAACAGAATCAGTTACAGCAGGTTCAGGACCAACTCCAGGCTGAAGGAAATCAGCCAAAAGTGATCCAAAGTGTTGATAGCCAAGCAGAAATTCAAGCTCTGAAGCAAGAAATTGAAGAACTTAAGATCGAAAATGACAGTATGATGAAGATCCTCATCAAGCGATCCAAGAAGGATGTTCTTTGTCAGAGCAAGGAGTACAACACTGTTGAAGAGAAATCTCTGGAGCCCTCTATTAAGCAATTTGGGTCAGCAAACGATAAGATTTATGGTAACTTTGATTACTAACTATAGACTCAAAGGAGTACAAGTCTAAGTCCCTCTTCATTCAGCCAACAGGGAATCAGGCACCATTAGGTAAAACTAGGGAAAAGATTTTGACATTGAACCAAGTAAATTTATAGAAAACTATCTTTCTAGACTAAGGAAATAATCAGGGATCTCTACCAATCAAAGAAGAGGTATGACGAGCAATGTAAGAAGAGAAAAGCCCCTATCGAGACCATAGAGCAGTATCTCTACACATACCTTAATAATAAGTACGGACTAAAGCCTCTGATTATTGAATGGACAGTTGGAATCGTCAATGCAATTAAACTATTCAAAGATGAAGACCATGATATTTATCTCTTCGCAAAAATCTTGAAAAACAAATGTGAAGAGGACTTTGTTGACTCCCAACAACAAGTTAGAGATACTATCAATGCTATCTTGAAGATGTGGGCAAGAGATAAGTATGTATACAAGCCAGACCACCAGATTGACCTAATGCTTCCAGAATTAAAGAATTCTTCCTTCAACTTGGACTTTTACATAAAGGTATTGGAAAAGCTGTATCCTGAAGAAAGAGACCGTGTATATGTTGAAATGCATTTAGAAGACTATCTCCAAAGACAGTAAGGCTAGTCTGCTTAGATTATAGAAAAACCAGAATTGCAAATAACACCACATTTGCCAACTCTTCTATTGTAAATATGACCGCAAATAGAAAGGGTGCAGTCAAAAATGAGATACTGTTTAATATTTTTGAAAAGATAGTCCTTGATTACCAGCTCAATGAGCACTGTAAATTTTTAGATAAATTTACTGACATTTTCATCCAGATTGACACTGACACCAATGGCATAATCTCGAGGGTAAGTTTATGGCTCATAAAATAGCAACAATTTTTAGACTTGTTGTTTCAGATGGACATCATTGAAGATCCGCAGCTAAATGAGGATGAGAATTCTCATCCAGATGAAGCATTTTACTTGATAAATGCAATTGATCCTCATGAAACTGACCAGATTATTCTATCAGAAATTGTAAAATTGCTCACCACTCATCCAGCAAAGCTGGGTGAGTCTAGATCAGATACCGAAATGGAGCAAATTAGTGTGCTCGAAAATTTTGTCACTAAGGCTATTGAACAAGAAGATTTGCAAAAATAAGGTCATGATAAAGCTACAGGAAAAGATAATAGAAGAATCCAAGAATGACTACCCTCCAGAACATCTCTCCAGAGGAGAAAGTGAAAAGCTCCTTCCTGTGAAGAGTATGAGTAAAGAAATGAACTTCAATGATGAAGGATATGGTAAGTAGCTATTGAGCTATTTTTAGTTCCCCAGCAGTTCCAGAATTTGGAGGCACAAGGATTTGACCAAATTAAGCAAGAATATGATCATTTTAACGACTATAATGCCAATAGGCATGGTGAAGAACATCCAATATCTGAAAATTCAAATGATATTGAAACTGAATCAAATTATCTTCACAGAGATCTTGACCCAGTTGAAGAGGAGGATAACTCCCAGAAATCATTCAAGAACTCTCAAAATCAGAGAATCAGCTGTGCGACAAGCGAAAAAGATCTTGAGCCTGACCATATCCCTCAAAAAGACAACTCTATCGAGCCAAGGTTAGAATCAGAGAGTGAGTATCCAATGCAGGAATAATATTTCAATCCTTTCCATAACCAAAGGGGTTTTGGGGTTTTGGGGTTTTGGGGTTTTGGGG